TCATGGTTGTGGTCGTGACTTCGTTTCAGTTCCAGTCGTCCACTGCTCCCCATGCTGCTTCCCGACATTCCCACAACGTCAGGCTTTCCCAAGGAGGTGAAGACTGTGCTGTGGACCCTCTCCACTGTCATCGTACTCATCGTCGTCGTGGCCGTCACCTTTGCCCTTCGAATGCGAAACCGTGCACGTCGCTACTTGCACTACCAGGTGAGGTGGAGCGGTGTGTTTGCAGGTGCGAGTGTGGAGTGGAGGTGGGATGAGGGCTATGCTGCACAGTCTCTCACCTTCATTCGTGCATTGTTGGTTGCGTTTGTTGTGCCCCTGGCACTGCCTACCACTGAGTTACCTGTGACGCGCCAAAGTAGTGCAACAGCACCATTGTGTGGTTGTCGATGGGCAGACGAGCAAACTGTCACGCCAACACATCGTCTGCCAAGTGGATGGCAATGTAGGAGACGATTTGTTTAGCAGTCGTGGTTAGTGCTGTGCAGTGTTGCACGCTGGTGACTGAGGTGAGGTGAGTGAGGTGAGTGAGCGAGTTCACAACGCTATTCCAAAGGTGTGTCTGTGTAGATGCTGCGAAAGACGTCCACCTTTCCCTCCTTGACACTTGTGATTGTTGCATGCACCTCCGCAGTGGTCATGGCAAGGGTCGTCGTGGAGTGCAGTAGTACCGTGTATTGGATACGAGAGGAGATCGTATTGCCACGCTTGCTGCCTAGCCTCATGCTGTCTCTTACTTGAAGTTTTGTTTAGCTACCTTGGATTGCACCATCTGCAAAATACTGGGCGGAAGCACTGGTGGAGGTTGCCATGTTGCAGATGGTATCGCTAACCGAATGCTCCTAATGTGATCGTTTGGAATGTAATTGCGCTCCTGACATTTGTATACTATTGTGCGTGGCGTACAGACACCATGGGACCACGCCTCTCCGTTGCTTCATCCCTCTTTCGACTGCGCGGATCGGGAAGGCTGGGCCGGACACCCTGTGGTCTTAGGTGAGACAACTCAAGGCCATCGCACTAATCCTGAGATAGTTAGATTCAATCTTCGACGCGTTCTTGGCTCTGGTGCTAACGGAACCATTATTTTTGAGTGGGTTTTCGCTCTCCTTCTAATCATATCATTTTCTCAAATGCATTTCACATATAGTTTCCACTTCGTGGATATTATTTATGAGCATGCAGCCTCTTACCTCCATAAGGAAGAAATTAGTGGCTGATTGTAGAAGTTTTTTCAGAGGGACCTATGGAACACAACCAGTGGCAGTGAAGCGGATTCTGCGTCGCGTTGAGTTGGAGAAGAGTTGGCTGCGCGAGCATCGTATTCTCATGAACCACCACCATGAACACCTCATTCGATGCTTTTGGACGGTAAGGCTATCTCATTTATAGGCCTTAAGAGAAAATGGATTCTTTACTTTAAGTTTGACGTTTTATCATCTGAGTTGTTGCCTCCCAGAGAGAGGTATTCAAGGGTACCATTCTGGAAGTGGTCTGTAAAAGATTGAAGTGACGTATTCGGAATTGTGTGCCATCGATGTGGGGTTGATTTGCGAGTGACTGAAGTTCTGCATGCGCAAAACA